CATTCCTCTCTAAAGGTCATGACCTCTGTGATAGTTATAATAAATAAAGATATATACCAGAATGGGAAATATTATATATGATTAATAAATATTTGTCATTTCTTATCAAACAACATTACATAAACAATTCACACATATGGGGAAACATACTGTATTTACATGGCATATGACTACAGTAAATCTTGTCGAGTAAAAATGCTAAACTTAGCCTGAAATGTAGAACACCCATGACAAAGGTCACAGGTCAAAAAATATTGAGACAATACTAGTACACTACTGAATCATCCTGCATCTTTGTCCATCTTGGAGCAATAACAATAAACCTACAGTATAGCAAGATGGATGAGCTCTCCACTGACTGATCACTTCATTCAATTTATGAGCTTTTAACATGAAAAGCTGCACAAAGGTATTACTTGATAGACTTTTAAAACCAGATCAGCCCAAATGAAGGAGTTGCTAAAGAGATGTTGTCAAAATTTGTTAAAGTATGATATGCAGCTGTGGTATGTTGAGGTTTGACGGCCAACCAACAAATCTATACCACAGATACAATGAGGTGTTGTACAACTAAGAGTAGGGAATAGTTTATTATCTGATATTGTTACATTTTTACCTTGTTATTGTTTCTGTTATTTATTTATGAGCGGACTCTTGCAATTTTATTTCTGTGTAAACTTTTTTTACAAATGACAATAAATATACTGAATACTGAATATTCCTTGCTTTTTGTTGTTTGTTTGTGGTTGAGATGCTCACCTTTAAGATTCTGGTTTCAGCCCTAACAAAAATATCAAAATTTCATAACTAAAACAAATCCACTCCCAAATTCAAACTCTTTGTTTTGCATCAACAGTACCGTACTTCGCTGCTGGCTCATTACCTGTCAGATTACCTTAGAAATTTCAAAATCATATTACAATACTCTCATAAACTTTCAATCTGAATCTGAAGTTACCATATATCATACTAACATTTTTAAAAGCACTAAAACATATTTTGATTGTAATCATCATTGGTATTTATTTGCAATGACCAACCAATGACTGACTATATCAATCACAGTGCCACTCCAATCATCAACTGAGAAACCACATGCCATCTCCCTGCCATATGTTTCTACTCAGCAAGAGGTAAATGGATTGGTATAAGATGTAATAGCATTCTACAAGAAATGAAAATAATGTTCAAAAGAAAATATGTAGGCCTATACACATTCATTTAAAAAAAATATTAAAATATCTTGATTGATCAACGTGTTATTAGGTGGTACATATATTTTGTTGCTACTTTATAAAACTGAATGTTGATTTGACAGTAAATGATGGAAGAGCACTTAAAGACCTGTACGATGCTAAATGAGCTGAACAAAAAAATGTCAAATGAAAAGCTGTCACAGGCAGTAGTCGCGGTGTTCAATTCCAGAATACTGTACATTATTTTCTGTTTATTGTTGCAGAAGCAGAGAACTGCAGAATAAGGGCCAGTGAACTGCCAGCGATTGAAGGAAAAGCCAATATTTGTTAAGTTTTGTCAGACAAAGCTGGTAGCATTTTAAACTACTAACCACAAGGGAATTCTTAAGTGTGAAACTGAACAAAAACATCACAGACAAATCCGAACAGGACCAAATCAGTGAACTTCCAATAGTTTACTTGGTGTTTCATTGTAGTAGTCTGTGAGGTCATGCCACAACTCTAGTAAATAAAGACCTTACATATGTTATACAGTATACTGTACTTTCTTTAGCCTCAAGTATTTCTAGACAACTTTTTATGTTGGCGGTGGTAACAACAATAAAGGGGAAAAAAAAGTTCTAAATTCCAATTCTCCTAACGGGAAGTGTGACCCCAGTTTTTGGAAGACAATAAATTGCTTAAACCAGGGAGTTGTTATAGTGACCCTGCTTAATCTATTGCAATGACTGTAAACAGGGGGGCTGCGGATGATTACTAAAAAAATATAACCTTAAAGGCATCCTGAAGTTCAAGGGGATTAATATACTGGATTTTTAAACTATTTAAACTGCATTTAAAATTTAGAATCAAAATATATCATAGCTATTATAATTTTGGTAATTTACATTACACAAATCCTCTATTCTGATGTAACTCCAGTCCTACCTTAATCTTAGAACAGAATGAAGCCTAATTTAAACATTCACAAGATCTCAAAACAAATCTACAAAGCATGACCGAAATTGGTAAGTTAAGCTGGAAAGAGCAGTGTTTGTATAATTTGTGCTGAGAAGAGATGTTAAGCCACAAACTAAACAGAGACCAGGTGTTAAAGCCTAAGCAAGCTTCAAAATACTATAGATTCTTAAGCACATTACTCCTTATTATGACACACTGAAACAAAAAAGATGTGTTACACAATCATTAAAACCTTACCCAACCATCCATGGAAACTGCTAAAAAAGAAAATAAAAGTAGCTCAGGATCATACTACCAAATGTAAAATCTCGTATACGTCATGTAAAGTGCAAAACAAAAATACATGAAAATTGTTTTGAAGAGGTAATTTTACAAGTTTCAGCGTATTTATTGTAACGGTCATCCCGCTATAGGCCAATAAAAGACGTAAATATATAGCTACATACAGCATCACAGCTAATCAACGATTTAGAGCACAGAATGTTTACATTCTGTTACTGGTACAGAAGGATGAATTTAGGTTTAAAATACTTGATTCTGATGTCCTAACATAAGAACACAATCTGTGAGAAACTTTCCCATCCAGTAATTACCAAGATCTCAATAAATGTTTATATTTCTATTAACCAGTTAACGAACGGTGATGGTAAAAACCACGGTCTAGCTATAAAAATGACTGAATCCACTGTACTTAAACCTGACATTTCTAAATAACATCCAGCAAATTGAATCACCCATCTGAAATTATTTCTTCCTTTTCATGAATGGACAAAATGCCAATTCATGTTCATCCACAGTCAGTTTTATCAACTCTAGCAGAGGGAGTGACCAATCAGATTACCAAATGGGAAGGATTTTAACTACTTTTCAAAGTAATTGTTAAGAAAATATAAACAAATTTGTTTAATTTTTGACATTCCAGAAATTCATATGCAAGATATGCGATGTATTGGTTGTGTTCTTACTTAGCAGGAGACAAAACCAACTTGAAATCTAACCTCTTGTATAAAAAAACACAGCTTGAGAAAAGACAGTTGTGACAGGAGATTTTAAGAGGTTGTAGAAGTATGTCTGCTGGTCTCATTCTTTTATTACCCGCACAGCCAAATGCAGTGCAATGGTGTTTACTTGATACAGTAGTTAAGTACAATGTCCCTCTCCCTACATTTGCCCACTCACAGACCCTTAGTGCAAGGTTCAGTCAATGCAAAATGAACAAAATTCTTCTCACAAATAATTAACACATTTTTCTTACAAAATCGATAACAATTTGCATCTTATTGATGTAGGCCTAATTATTAGAATGGAATTAATGTTATGAGTTGCTCCTTATTTATATGATATATTTTCAAAAATGACAACTTATAAACTTGTCTCTTCTTACGTCCATACCTGTACAACAAGGTACTAAACAATACAAAGCACAAAATGCACAGTGGTCGTGACGAAGGTTGTAGCAGTGGTCGCGCGAGGGCCCTGAAAATTGTTAATGTTGTCTGCGAGTCAACAAAACAAGGTGCAGTATTAGATTTCACCCATCTGCCATTAGGGTTCTAAATCAAATTGCATAGCCAAACATTTGAAATATTGGAGAATACAAGCCGGAGACCTTGGATATGAACGACCCTACCTACCCCAGGAATAATAGCTAACTTTTTTTCATTTTTATCATGTACTTATATTTTTTTGTGTTATAATGGAGCAAAACCAGTTTCTATGTCTCTGACAATAATAATGAAGTATATCTATATAACATGGATCAAAGCAAAATAAATTTAAAGAATTAAGGATGACGCCACATCGCTGATTCTGGAATGTAGCACATTCTTCATCTAAAAAAAAAACAAAAAACAAACTAACTTTCATTATATCAAAATTACCCTTTGTTTTCAACTTCCCTGTTAATAACAAGTCCCCATCTATCACCAAATCCATATAATGATTAATGAGGCAGCGATATGAATAAAAATTTATAAATCATAATTATTGCAGTCTGGAAGCAGACAGGTTTTCCCCCTGGAAATCAGCATTGCCACAAAATTTAGGTGAACAATAAAATCATGACTTTACCAGTGAGGTATCAGTCTCTATGATTCAAGCAAGAGAAAGCTTGTAGGGCCAACTGAATGTCATCGCATGTGTTCTCAAATTGCCGCACTTCATTCTTGTTTTCTCCTGCTTCGCAAGAGCGGCTCCAAAACTTTTCAAGCGGAGATCATATATTTGTATTGTTTATTTCTTATTTCAGTACATGACAATTTTATGTATATGAAATTGAAAAATGTAGTGGCAAAACAGGGAGATTGTGGGATCATGGGCCCCATTGGATCCCCTGTTCAATATAAAATATATCCAGGTTTCTGGCATAAAGCAAATAATTGTATGTTTAGTTTATAACAAAAAAAACCCATTAGATTATAGCAAGTGGTAAATTTTTACAATAAACTATGTTATTCATGTACCATTTCATTATACTGAATAGAATGTTATTAATTTAATAGTACATTAGAATATTATTCTAATATATTAGGACTACTGTATATATTGGTAATATGAAAATAGAACATAAATATTTAAAATGATCGCTAAAGAAAACATTTTGTGTTATGTAAAGCTCAAAAAGTTACTGTAATAAGCACTATATTAATAAGACTATGAAAAATGTGGAGTGGACAGAAGAAAAATGAAAACCGAAGTAGTTAATATTCTAATATGAATAATATAAACATTACAGAAAATAAATTTAAACTACAGATACCACAATGTAACACTTATTAACACCTAGTCACTAATTCATTGGTCATTCATTGTCATTTAATATAATCTCTATATACTTACATTCTGTGTTTATTCTGTGATTCACACATTTGCAGAGTCTTTGTTTCACCACAGCAACCTGTATTCACCGGGGTCAACTGCTCTGAAATACTGTTGTCATTTGCTAAGGCATTCCCATATTATCCCAAATGAAGGAATAATAATCTGAAAGTAAGTAAACATACAGGACTATATTTTAAACTAACTGAAACAAAGATTAAAGATACTGCTGTACAAATAAACTATAACCAATAAATGCATTTTTCAAATAAAATATTTATTAAAAAGTCTAAATTAGAAGTGATTTTCAATGTTCAATCTTGAAGGCCAAACCTTTGAAGACTGAATATTTTATAGACTGATCATATTTCACTATTATAATCATATGATAAAATCTATAAACGATGATCAAATAAATGAAAATGATTTATGAATGTATTAGTTTACATACATAAATAATGATAATGTTGACAAGCTATGATAAACCTGTCATTAGCAGCTTAGGTTAGATTGTTGCAATCCAGAAAAGGGTAAAAGATGGTGAAACCCCTTTCCCTTCCCATTCCATGTGAAAATGATCAGAGAGGTCACGACTCATCACAATGTACATAAAAATTATCATTTCAGCATTTCTTTCCTACATTTTCCCTCTGTACTGCTGCTCATATGAGGCATGTTGTGGCAAAATGGCTAAGTTGTAGCAAAAATTGAAATTCAAGTTATTGGTATTTTCAGATACATATGTATGTGATCTTTAAAATGAGGGGTCATTCATTCAAATTGGACATTTCCAGCCTAAGTTATTGGAAAGTGAACGTACAGTACTCTTAGAGTCAAGATAAACATGATTTCGAGTAATTGCCTTTCAAAGTTATTTGTGCATACATTGTTTAATAGAATGAAATATAAAAATAATGTTAAAACAATTTGTTGACCACTTCCAGAACCAATACTTTGGGACATGATTAATAAGACTAATATTAAACTGTTGATCTATAGTGAAAACCAAATTTGGATTTTTAGGCAATTTTTTGAGCTCCCAAAATTTAGAGCCCATTTACTCAATACTGGACTGTGCGACAACTTAACAATTTCGCCACGACATGCCTGATGTGTGGCAGTAGCCAGCATTTTACTGATAAACTTACCAAGTATTTTTTCTCATCTTTCCTTTAAGTAGGACAGCATTATATCATCATGTACCAGGATATTTTAATAATGCACACTACCTGAAAATGAAAAATGTTGTTGCTATGGAGAGCGATCAGATGAATTTTATTTTCATTAATTTAAGATTCATTCAAGAATAAACCCTGTTAGAAATTAATAGGAAGCATTTTTGTGTTGATATATTTTGTCCAGATATGAAAATTTTCATCATAACTTTATACATGTTATTATTATTATTATTATAGGTTGTGAAGGTATAGTGGCAGGGGCCCATAAAGGTACTTTTACAGACAGCGGGGCCAGACACTTCAGCCCCACCATTGTTTGGATGATGGCTATGGCACCTCTACATGTCCAAAAATGGCACTCTCCTGCATTTTCAATATTTCACATTTGTTAAAAATGGAGAGGGTCAGGGAGGAGCAGGTGCTTGAATCCACCCCGATGTAACCTGTCACTTTTAAATAGTAAGCTAAGTAACTATTCATATACTCTATTAATTATACAGTGTCTGTTGAAAGCATCTCAAACCTATGATAAATTTCATATGAAAATTCAATGATTTTACTTACCAAGCCTTCAGTCTGGGACAGGTCATAGCGATTAGATTGGATTTAATTGGTTTGAACACCAACGGTAACATAGAAAAGTCTAAAGACTTATTTTCAATAGGGTCCTGATGGTGGTGATTGGGCTTACTACACCTGAAGATAATCCCCTACACTTTTACCGTACCGCATTCTTTAACGTACGTAAGGGTCACATTGCACATAGGACAAACAGCTTAAACATTTCATCCAAAAGACGGTGCGCTTTTTTACTTGCATTTCAGCCCACTAACTAAAATGCAAGGAGAGCAGCAGATGGAATTGAATCAGGTACCAAAGGATTTTCATGGTTCAGTGCACACACTATTTCTCCAAATTCATATTTCATTACTTTTATTTCTAATAGTTTTACTGAACAATTGCTTCTTTAAGAGTAGTATACAGCAGTATGATTTTTACCTTTACCTCCTACCTTTACCCATTTGTATCTAAAAACATAATAAATCGATTTTTGTAAATAACACAAAAATTCTAATCACCATTGTAGCAATCCTTGTAAGAAAAAACAAATATTAAATAAATATTATAAACACAAATAAAAACTTATTTGAATAAAATTACAGAAATTTAATATTCCTGTTAAAAATGGATTGTCATAAGCAAATTAACTATAATGTTTTAGATAATTGAATTCAATATTTTCACTACTTACAACACAAAGATACAAACATGTACCTAAAAAATGGTCTTAAAAAGCATTACAAATGCAATAAATTAGAAAAAAATACAAATACTAATTCATAATTTAATGTCTCAACATCATCATAGTTTTTTTACTCATAGGATTATTCACAACCCACATCTACCCTAGCAAGGTCCTCTCTAAATTTTCCATTTTTCAGATGCATATGTCCTGAAGTTAACAGCATGCATGCTGAGATTTTGAGTATTTGTTGCCAATTAAGTTTTTGCCTATAACTACCTTTGTCTGGAAGAAGCGAAATCTGTGCCAGTATAACCTGTAATTTTGCAGTCATTCCATGTTGAAAATATCCAGTGAATGAATCTAAACCTAATTAAATATTACCTCTGACTTTTATTGCAATAAAAGACTTGTCTTCTAGGCAAACAAAACAGTAACATTTGTGTCGAGTGAGGTTAATGAAAAATTGTCCCAGTTACAAGTCAGTCCTCTAGTTCTGTTATGCATATCACAAAAAGATGTATATTCTTCACATCCTAGATTCCTAAGGAATACTATTACCAATTACCATAAGTTCTGTTATTTATAGATGATGGTTAAGGTAGGCAATTAATCCATAACTTTTAGTAATACATTGTGATGAATTTTGTCTGAATAGTCAGCGATGCTTCACAATCAGAGGGACTGAAGTACACCAGAGCATGAATAAGTTTTACTACTACTACTTTCCCACACAACCCCTAAATTGTTCCACCCACCCACAAACTTTCCTGATGTTTGATAAATGTGTGAATGATAAAAACTATAAGCCTATTATTATGAACAATGTTTTAGAAAACAAGACAAAATTCATCTCACACACCGACTCTGCCATGATACGATATCGAAACTCAGTATGTAGGGAGACAACTCCAGCATATCGAGTGTGAGACACGAGTCAAAGTAAACTCATGGCTGCCTCCAATAGACCACAGCCACCCTGGCTTTGTATCGAAGTCAGTGGAGCACCCAAAAGCGAACACAATAAGAATGTGGGGTTCAAGAGCATGGAGACTTAAATATTATTAGGGAGTTATAATGGAATGTCACTTGTCACTTGGCATTGGCTCTTGGCTTTGGCAGATCTAAGTGAGTCAGGGGTCCTAAGGAAAGAGATGTATATAGTCATCTTCTGTTAACACATTTTCTTATAAACCAAAAAAAAAAAAAAAAAAAAAATTATTTTAGTTTGCTTGCTACTGTATCTACATTTATAATTAATTCTAAGGAGACTAAATTTAAGGTTACAAACCAAAATGTGTTTTTTTCAGACTGTCAGTTCTCAGAGCATAATTAATGTTAAGGAGTCAAACTCTTATTAGCTAGACAATGTACATACTATGGTTATGTTCAAACACACATCGTGATTGGTCAATCTCTTGAAATGAGGTCAAAATCAAATGAACATTTCCATCACATTTCACGCTATTTAGTTTCAGATACTTTCGCCCTGCTAATCTTGGAGTACAATAAAACTGGCTACACTACCAGATGTAACATTTTTTATCTCGGCCCCCCCCCCACCCCGGCTACAGATCCTATTAAGTACAGTGGAAGCATGTGATATAGAAGCAAGGCTTTGAGCTTTCAATTAAGAGGTTGTGGGTCCGAGACTGACGCTGCTCACATTGCTTGCATTTATCTTTAACAAAAATTGGGAGTCAGTGCTGAATTACCATGCAGCAAGTCTATGAATACTTCCCAATGACAAGAGAATAAAAAGTGCTTTGTATCTGAAAACGCATTTAAGTGAGAGGTTTAAACATCCAACAAAATCGCAAAACTGCACTACCCGAATCAGTGTGGCTGACTGAATACTTCCTGGGAAAGTACTCTACATCGGTGTTTATGATATATAACTGAAGACCATAATAATAAATTATAAGATCATGAGCAGCATATAGAATTTCATTATTTTTATTAATATCATTATGTGCCTAACCATAGAAAAACAAAATATTCAAAAGCATACAGAGCACTTAACTGCCATCACATCAAAACCAGAGTAGAGCAGCGCAGAAAACCTACTCAAGTCAACACATGGCAAAAGGGTTTTGATAACATATTTTTCCCACATCAAGAAAGACACCTTCCATTAACTCATTACGTCGCTCATTAAAAAAAAAAATCATAGAACTTTGGTATTTAGGAACTCATTCACTAGAGTGGTACAGATATTAACTACAATCAATCACAGAATTTCCATCAACACCACAATCATCAATTAACTTGTTACTGTATATTTATATTTTTTAAAGCAATACCATTTGTTAATCTGGCTCATATGCACTTTAAAGGACCCACTGAATCTTTTTAAAGAGTGGGGGGGGGGAGCTACCTGGTGCTGTGGTTCATTTCAGCCCCTGCCGTTGTGGAATGGTATGAACATGTAGCTACTAGAAGCACCTCCTTACAGCACCTGAGGTATTCACACAACCATAATACACCAAAAGTAGGCCTATTCAGCTCCTAATAATTTTAGATTTCATTCCTTGCATGTTCTTTCACATCACAAGAATTGTATTCTTAAAGTAATTAAAGGACAGTCAGCATACATTACAGGGTGCTTTCACAGTATAGTGAAGCCAGGATATAGCTCCACGACTGCTGTAAATAGCCAATTTGTATATCTATTTCATCCATGCAATGAACCTTTCCGATTAAGTCCCGCCCTTAGATACTGTAGCGTTGCTAAGGTCCCACAAAACGACAGTGTAAACTTATGAAAACGTGCATTTGTGGAACTGCACATGTGTTTGTGAGAAAAGCACGTACTCCTCTGGGCTATAATCTGACTGGTTAGTTGTTGATGAACACGCTGGAAGGTCCATTGTTAGCATGAAAGGCCTACCTAAACCATTTCTAAACATTATTTTTAAAAATACATCCAGCAATTACAGTTATTTACTGCAGAGTGGAGAATAACACTGTTAACATTTATTTACTATACTTTAAACATTCATGAAGAAAGAAAGCAGATGTAGACCTTAAACAGAAATAAACTAAACATGTATTAAGGATAATTGCCAATTTTATCTGATTACATAAGAATAAACTTTACTACAGGTTTTGTCTATATCTATTAGCAATTATACTAAACCTGCATTTTTTATCATGGTTTTCCAAAAGTTTTTTAGGTACTAAAATACCATTAATAATATAGAAAAGGAAAACACTAAAATATACTGATGCCATAAAATGTATATTTTCACCTAGAATTGTTGAAGGCTTAATTCTCTGTATGTAGTTTTCTAAAGGTCATTTAGACTACTGCAGAAAGAATATTAAACTTTCATTGGAGATTTTCTTCTCATACGAAAGCAAGCCGTGCATTATAGATAGCATGCGAGTCAAGAGGAGTTGTCTACTACTTCTATACCATTTTACTCAATGCCAGCTTTGTTCTCATATAGGGAAAGCCTAATACCATATCCATTATTCCTTGTCACTGATAACAAATCCTTGACCATTTTTTAGTTGCTTCTATCCTTCATATTATTAAGTGATATTTCTGATAGCATATTAATTGCATCATACGTTTTCCTTCTTTACAGCACACTTTAATAATAATGATTATCTATGAAGCTTGCACTTGTAATAAATTCATCCCTTCCAGGAAGGTGAAAAAAAAGTAAAATTGTGTTTTCACATACAGCAAAATGGTTTTGCAAAACATATAAGAAAATTTAATTATATTGAGGAACAAAAAAAAGTGGTGTAATGCAGAAGGTAACAGAGGGCACATCCTTGGGCTTTAGCTTTGGATCCTATGGCATTTTTGCAAAGAATGTTAGAGTGTAAACAAGCTCAGTACTGTAATGCAGACTGATAAAGATTTCTTATTGTAAAAGTTAATGATAGTGGCAAGCTTAATAAAAAAAAAAACTAATACCCTCTTTATTTTCTGAAATCTCAGTTTCCTTTATGGCGGCAGGTGCATTAAAACAGGCCAAAAATTAAATAATAGGCATTATGTTTTTGCCCTACCTGACATCCTTCCCATTCCTAATCTGCTCACGCAAACACCATCAGAATAATAATAATAATAATAATAAACAATAACAACAATAATTACAACAATAATAATAACAATAACAACAATAACAACAATAATTACAATAATAATAACAATAACAACAAAAACAATAATACTATTCTCATTCAAAATTCTGATATGCATGCCTTGCATGAACTCTGTACTGTAGTAATACCAGTTTCTATTAATATATTATGTGGAAGTTGAAGACTGAATCATTAATGAAATGTCTATGTATTATTATAATACACAAGTATTATTATTATACGTGACCCACCAAGGAATAAAACATAATAGGTTCTGTGTCATTTCCATACACAAAAGAAATTGCTATTGCATCATGAATTTACAAGTTATGGAACCTTTCTATTCTATGTTCCACACAATACATACAGTATCGTGTTAAAATATTTT